AATTACCATAAAATATGCATAATTAACTCATTGACCTTCTTACCTGTTTACTCATTTCTTTCCCTTTTTTACAAAAAAAAAAAAAAAGGAAGAAAAAAAAGAAAAAGAGGTTCCTTTATTTTGAGAAAGTAAAATAAAGAAATTATTTCTCTATTTTGATTGATATTGTAGACCAAAATCAAGAAAATAAATAATTATATCTCGAACAGACAGTGAAATTTTGGATTCAAAGTTAATAATATTAATTAAGACTAAAAAAATATAATCGTTAGAGTTGTCACAAGATAATTCAAGAGGAAAGAATGACGTCGTCTTCATGTATATTATTTTATACTTCAAAAGTTTCAATTTTTGAATAGTTGAATTCAGTGAGTAAAATCCAACGACCACTCAAAAACATTTTAAAGTTTAGTGCGTAGTGTGATGGAGGCATAAGTTAAATGACTAATGGAACATGATAAATGAGTGATGGAGTGTAACATGTTAGATTTCAGCGACTATTCAAAAGCATTTTAAAAGTTCAATGACTAATAAAACATGGTGAAGGAATGATGGAGTGCAATATGTTAAAATTCAATAATGACTCGGAAGCATTTTAAACTTCAGTGAATAAAATGTGACTAAAGTGTGACATAAAATGTGACTAAAGTGTTACAGAAGTATAATATTAGTCACTAATGAAACATTTAACTATCTTTCTTATGTGTGTATATATGTACCATTTTGTATGTATTGATGTGTGATATTTTATATATATAAAGGTTGCGTGAGTATATGCTCTTGTTTGGTAAAAATTAAAATTTAGATTTTAATTTAGGTCAAATTCAACAAATAATATTAATTACATATTTTATGGAACCTACAATTTTTCAATCACACATTTCATCAACTTTCGTCCCCACCAAAAAGGGCTATATTGTCTCGAAGCGGGTACAAGAATCATAGTTCCCGCTCCGCTACTTGTCTGGTTTAAAATTAGTTTCAAGTTTAAATTTTTTATCAAATAAAAATAAATGATTTATCATCATTTTAAAAGATAACATAAGTTGTTTTTAACAAATTGATAAAAAAAGTAATAATATTTACTAACTAAAGATATATAAAAATAAAAGTAAAAAAAAATAGGGCAATAAATGGGGCAGGGGACCTGCCTGCCCCACTGATCCCGCCTTGTCCCGATTTAACTTGGCATGGAGACGGAGAAGGTGATAAAAATACTCGCGGGATGATGACGTAAATGGTTGACCCCGTCTCATACTCGTCCCGTTGCCATCTCCAAACATATGTGTGCTTATATATATTGCATGTCTTTGTGTATATATCGCTTAGTTATACGAAAATTTATGTCAAAATATGCTTATATAGGAATTATAGAATGTTGATCATAAATTTATGATCAACACATTCTTCCACCTAATGTGGACTTTCTCCTCTTATTCTTTCTATACTTGAAACTCAATAGAGGGTAAGAGGAGAAAAACTTATTGGGAAGAAGATATTTTAATTTGTATACCTCACTCCTTTTAGGCGGGACATATTTGTAGATTTCTTTTTGGAGTTTTGGGGGTGATTAGGTCTTTTTTGGTAAATGACAAGGTCATTTAATGGTGAATTTTTAATTAATTATGTTGTGTGTTCACGTTTTATTCACCAACTTACGTGTACTTCATTTCACTTGAAATTTAGTTAAGGTACAATATCAAATACGTCTAAATGATCATCAGAGTATCCTCAGCTAATGGAAAAAGGTGGTTAAGCATCACAAAGCATCAAAATTTCTAGACAGAGAAGATCGTATATGAATGGTTTATTCAATACCAAGGTTGAGAGCTATTCTTGAAAAGGGTTAGAGAGAGACCGAATATAATGCACCCTCAAGAGGTTGCAGAATTCGCCAGTCCAATGCTAGCTTTTCGGGAAATATTTCTTTCCTTGTTTTTGGCTCCTTTTTTATTCTCTTTCCAACCATAACATATTTTTTTGATCCTATATATAGAGTCAATGATATATATGATTTCCATATAATTTTGCATAAGTTAGAAGCAAGTTAGAAACACAATGTTTTGTATTATTTCTCCATATTAATAAATTTTTTGTTTATTTGCCAATTGTTCTTGTATTGTGATTACTACTTCATATTGTGCCATATAATTTCGTTTCCTCTATTCCTAGCAAGTGGTATTAATACACATAATTCTTGTTTGGATTTTCACAAAAGATGCTTTCAATATGGATGAAATGGGATTTGTTTATAGGTTACAACCTTGTTATATATTCTCTTGCAACAAAACAACTTGAAGGGAAAAATAAGACAAAGAAAGAGTACCAGTTTTTTTGGTGGGAAAAGTGAAAAATGGAATCCTAGCACTTGATTTTTTGTATATTTATCTCCAACCTTACATAAATTAGTAAAGTTAATCCATAATTATGCTTTTCCATCAATTTTTGCTGTTAATTTAGTCATGTGATCTGCACCGGCCTTTTTCATAATGCTAGAATTGTCAAAAAGCTTGTTTGATTGTTATAAATGATAGTTACATATACACAACATTTTTTTTCCACATTTTAATTGCATTAAAGGTCCATTACCATTTTTGTTGTCACATTTTTGTCTCAAATCTTTTTTCAACATTATTATTCGTAGCATTTCATTTATTAGCAAACTTAATCCTTAATGAAGATTTTCGTTTTTAAACGGGGGATAAATATTTAGTCTCAATTTTGTATAAGGATGTTAATGAGTCGAGTCGAAACTCGAAGTTTGGGTTCAACTCGAGTAAAAATAGTTCGAGCTTTTTTTGGCTCAAGTCGAGCCAAAATTTTGCTCAGCTAAAAAATCTAGGCTCGAATCGGGCACTATTAAGCCAAGCCGACTTGTGATTTTTCTCCAAGGCCTTTTAACAAGACAGCCTTGTTAATTTTTATTTTATTTAGTTTATCTTCTTTTTAAAAAACATAGGCTGCAGTCTACTGCCTTCAGCCTTTAGTCTGCCGCCTTGTTATTATTTTTTTTTTTTTAAGGTTTGACTCATCACGAGTCGAAAATGGCCCATGACACGCGTTGGCTCGAGCTTTTTCCAATCTGAGCCATATGCCGCCAGAGTCGTAGAGCCAAATTGACACCCCTAATTTTGTATTTTTTTTTTACTTATTCAAAAATATAATATGCAAACTAGTTTTTTTTTACTCATTAGCAGATTTTTTGAATAGAAACTGTCATTGGAGACATGTAAATGATTAATGAAAAAAGTTGAAAACATAAATGTAATAATGAATGAATGTTATAAACCCTTCGTACAATTAAAATATGATATGATGCACTTATGATAAATGTGTTGTGAATATATTTAATCCGTTAAAAAAAGTCAATATTCTTGTAAAATATTATTTTGTCCTCATTTATTTAAAATAAAAAAGTAAAGGAAAAAGAAAATGATAAGTAATAAAAAATAATTAGCAAAGAGAATTCATTCACTGCCCCATCCCTCCCTAGCCCGAAAACACCACGATCGTTGGCAACACACTACTATCAATGACATTTCTAGGAGATTGAAAGATCACCCTAAAAACCAATAATGGAATTCAAGAAAATTAGAAGCTCATCTCTTATTTAATCGAATAACACCAAATATTATACCATTACCACCATCACTTGCAGCAACAATGGCCTCTACAATCACCGCTCATTGATATTCAATTGGCAAATCAAAAAAGAGGGAATAAACAATAATGTTGTTCATTTAGAGTGCGTTGATAATCAACAATTCATGTGGTAGTAAGTCTTGTGGTAGAGTGATCACTGCGACATAGACTCATGATCATCAATGCTCTAGATGAATATCTTGCATCAATAGCCAACATTCATAAAATGGAATTTTTTTTGAATCCCCAAAATCTTTATATATCTATATGAATATCTTGGATCAATAGCCAACATTCATAAAATGGATTTTTTTTGAATCCCCAAAATCTTTATATATGTATATGCAACATATATAGGTATAAGGATGGCAACAGAGCAGGTCGGGGGCAAGTCTGTCACTCTCGTCCCTCGTCCCATCAGGTATTTTTATCATCTTATCCCTTCTTCATACTCGATTTAGGCAAGGCTGGGCCTCTGTCCAATTTATCGTGTCGTTTATTTGTTATTTATTTTTATTTTTTTATGTCATTTGTTGGTGT